GTGTGTGTGTGTGTGTGTGTGTGTGTGTGTGTGTGTGTGTGTGTGTGTGTGTGTGTGTGTGTGTGTGTGTGTGTGTGTGTGTGTGTGTTTTGACAGACTGACAGCGGGCGCTGAGAACACACTGTTCCATTATGTGCTGATGGAGACGGTGCAGGGCATCTTCATCGCTCCCACACACAGAGAAATGAATCATCTGAGTGGCTCCATCCACCCTCAGCTCATCCAGAACTTCTACCACTGCTGTCTGTCCATACGCCAGGCCTTCCAGCAGAGCCTGCCCTCACGGGTAACACACCTCAAACACTGACACTGATGTACAACTGACACAATGAGAAAGAAATGAACACTTTCATTCAACAAGGACACATTAAACTGATCACAAGTAGCTGTAAACATGTTTATAATGTATTTACACAAAAATATGAAGCAGCACAACTGTGTTCAACATTGATAATAATGTTTCTTGAACAGCAAATCAGCATATTAGTATGATTTCTGAAGGATCATGTGACACTGAAGAGTAGAGTAATGATGCTGAAAATTCAGCTTTGATCACAGAAATAAATTACATTTTAATAGATATTCACATAGAAACAGTTATTTTAAATTGTAAAAATATTTCACAATATTTGTTTTGATCAAATAAATGCAACCTTGATGAGCATAAAATATTTTTATATAGTGTTTAATTCTGTATATAATTTAAAATCAGTTGTTTTTTCCTTTTAAATTTTAAAATGTACATTTAAAAAAAGTTATTAATTAATATTATAAATTTACTTAATTAACAAAATAAACTTTTTAATACTTTATTAAAATGTTGAGTATGTCTATTTATTTATTCATTTTTTATTAATAAATGTATCATTTTTACAATAAAATCCTAATTTTTTTCCCCTCCACATTTTTTTGTCATAGATGATGTTTGAGACATTTTGAGCTTGATGATTGCAAACTGCCAATTACTTTTATTAGAAGTAGAAATATTACAAATATTATTCAGTATTTTGATTTAAAAACTTTTTTTCTGATAAAAATACATGTTCAAAGTTATGAATTAGTTTTATTTTTATAGTTTCAGTTTTCATTTAATTTAACTGTTAAATAGTAATTTGATGTGCTTTTGTCATTATTATTAGCTTATACTTATTTCAGTTCATTTCATTTTCGTTTAAGTTTTTATTCTTTATTTCACGCATTCTTGTGTATTCCAACCAGTCTGTTTAAAGAGTGTTAAAACAATAAAGTTAACATAGCCCTAGGTATCACTGCAAATAATTTCTCTGCTATAGTAATATCGGCACAGTTTCATCATCTCATATGTGTGTAAATGTGTTTCAGGATCGGAGAGGGACGCAGAGCACTCGAGGTTTGGGTCCGGTCAAAGAACATGGGGTTTTGTTTCAGTGCAAACCGGAAAACTGGACGGATCAGAAGAAACCAGCGCCCACCATGACCTACTGGGTTATAGGGTATGTCTGTAAATGCAAAACATAAATTAGCTTAGTTATGTGAGACACCAACATGCATACATCATATTTTCCTCCTCTGATTTGCAGTCTCTCGTTTGCATTCCAGGCGAATGCTCCTCGAACCCGTTCCTCAAGAGTTTTACGTGTGCTTCCATGACTCCGTGGCTGAAGTTCCTGTGGAAATGGCCTTCCGGCTGTCATTCGGCTTGACCGTGTAGCACTGCAACACGAGCACAGCGTCAGACAGCACTGGCTGCTCTACCATGAGCTTTCTGGGAGGTAAATCCACTATAGACGCGGACAGAAAACTACTGGTTCATGCTTAAAGGATAGTTCACCTAAAAGTTTTACTTTTCTGAAAAAACTCACCCTCAGGCCATCCAAGCTGTAGATGAGTTTGTTTCTTCTTCAGATTTGTAGAAATGTAGCATTCCATCACTTGCTCGCCAATGGATCCTCTGCAGTGAATGGGTGCCGTCAGAATGAG